GGCCGGGTCAGGGTAGAGAGGAACGGCCGGGTCAGGGTAGAGAGGAACGGCCGGGTCAGGTTAGAGAGGAACGGCCGGGTCAGGTTAGAGAGGAACGGCCGGGTCAGGGTAGAGAGGAGCGGCCGGGTCAGGTTAGAGAGGAACGGCCGGGTCAGGGTAGAGAGGAACGGCCAGGTCAGGGTAGAGAGGAGCGGCCAGGTCAGGGTAGAGAGGAGCGGCCGGGTCAGGTTAGAGAGGAACGGCCAGGTCAGGGTAGAGAGGAGCGGCCAGGTCGGGTTAGAGAGGAACGGCCGGGTCGGGTTAGAGAGGAACGGCCGGGTCAGGTTAGAGAGGAACGGTCGGGTCAGGTTAGAGAGGAACGGCCGGGTCAGGGTAGAGAGGAACGGCCGGGTCATGGTAGAGAGGAGACTCTGTGACGGCGTTGGGTTGAACCTGGAGTAGCAGCCCGGTTCCTCTGAGCTAACCGCAGCACTCTTCACCCTGACATCAGCCCCCTTTGCCAACAGGTTTAGATACCTGAAAGACGTGCGCCGCATATCCTGTAACCATGGCGATGGAGCTGCCATGCTGTCACAGGCGGGACGTCTTGATAGACATCAGAGACTCAAAGATAAAAAGTGCAGCTTAGTTATAGTTAACGTTTAAAGGAAAATGTAGAAATTGTAATATTAGTTGAGCTCCATCACTGCAGACCATAATGAGCCATCCATGGTGAACAGGACCTGCTCAGTCTGCTGGTTGGACTGGTTGACCATCCGGGTCACAGCTGCTGACGGAAAGTTTTCACCAGATGGAGTCATTGTAGATTTCAGCCTCTGGCTGTTGATGGTACTTCTGTGGATTCAGGTCCAGTTGGCGCCTCCTTTCCTTCTCCATGTTCTCCCAGTTGATGGCGGTTCTCCTGGAAACACGTTGGTTGCTGATCAACAGACGGGATGAACTAGTGCGCTCATTAGCTCAGAGCCAGCTGGGTCTATAGCGCCCCCTGCTGGCTCTAACACCTGGTTGAAAAAGGATCTTCAGGCTACTGCATATCTTCCATGGTATCCATGGTAACGCCTGCTGATGAACAACTTGGCTGTGGTTTCTGTCCACCTGTCCTTCTCAGGGTCGCGGTTCTGGATTTCCAAGCAGGAGGAGGTCCAGAGGAGGAGGTGTTGGTGGAGGAAGAGGAGGGAGAGGAAGGAGTCGGCCCAAGACCCAAGACGGTCCTCCTGTGGCCCCCGGGGTAAGAACACAGGCGGAGCTGTGTCACCATGGTAACGGGTGTGGGTAGGACACGGTGGTATGACGCGCCTCCCTGCTGTGCTTGTCTAAGGGCGTCTCCATGGAAACGTTTCAGATGAAGGAGGAGGAGGAGAACTCCATGCACAACACGGTGGTGATGTTCTCCACCTCGGACCATTTCACCCTCAAACAGGTACGGAGGCGGACCCGGGAGCCGGGTGCTGTCCTAGGACGCCGTCTCAGCTGCGTCTCTGTGTCTCTGCAGGACATGTGCGTTGTGTGCGGCAGCTTCGGGCAGGGGGCCGAAGGACGCCTGCTGGCCTGCTCCCAGTGCGGCCAGTGTTACCATCCCTACTGCGTCAACGTGAAGGTGGCTGTCGCTAGACGCCGATGCTCCCTCCGGGTTTGGGTTCTGGTCCGGTTAACCGCTCTGCTTCCTGTGTCACCAGATTACCCGGGTGGTCCTCACCAAAGGGTGGCGCTGTCTAGAGTGCACGGTGTGTGAAGCGTGCGGCGATGCCTGTGACCCCGCCCGTCTGCTGCTGTGTGATGACTGTGACATCAGCTACCACACCTACTGCCTGGACCCGCCCCTCCTCATGGTGCCCAAAGGCTCCTGGAAGTGCAAGTGGTGGGTGGAGCCACTGTCCTCCGTGGCCGACCGGCGAGCCCGGCTGATTGTCTGTCCTCTGTCTCCAGGTGTGTGTGGTGCGTTCAGTGTGGCTCCACCTCCCCTGGCCTGCGATGTGATTGGTTGAACAACTACAGCCTGTGTGGCCCCTGTGGCAGCCTCAGCCAGTGTCCAGTCTGTCAGCAGTGCTACGTCCACGACCAGCTTGTCCTGCAGTGCTCTCAGTGCGACAGGTAAAGCCCGCTCCACCTTGCCGCCGCAGGGCCCCGCCCCGTATGGCGTCTCACGGTGTCCTGATCTGCAGGTGGGTCCATGCTGTGTGCCAGGGCCTGGCCTCGGAGGAGGAGGTGGTTCTGGCTGCTGACGAAGGCTTCGAGTGCTCGCTGTGCCGGGACCCTGGACGCCCCCCCGCCGGTCTGCCTCCTTTAAAGCTGTGTCTGAGCTGACATGTTAGCTGGGCTTTCTGGGAGGGAATGATGGATCTTTTTGCTTCTTACAGCCATGTCTGAGAGTTCGGGTCCTTTCGTGGCACAGATTGTCTCCAGAAGCAGAGAAATGGGTCTGTACCACCGCGTTCCACCGCTCAGATTCACAGGAAGTCCTGCAGCCTCATTTGACCGCTCTGTTTCTGTAGATTTCAAGACTTATACTCAGGACGGAGTCTGCCTCACGGAGCGCGGGCTCACCCACCTGCAGGCCCTGGTTGAGCCTCTGACATCACCGCGAAAATACCGCCGGTGAGGCCCGGTCCACATTCTGCCTGGCGACCACGATCAGGGGAGGTGTTCTCAGAACTTTTCTCTTTCCACGTCCTGCAGGTGTAAACCCAAGCTGAAGTTACGGATTATCAACCAGAACAGCGTCTCTGTCCTGCAAACCCCAACAGACCCAGAGACTCCCACCAAACCAGACCAGAACCAAGGTAAATCGCTCTGGGCTGAGGAGTCTGAACAGAACCGGGGGGCGCTGTGTGGGCAGCTATCTGTCTGCTGGGGCGTTTTAAGGCGTGGCTTCAAGTTCATCACAGAAATGACTCCACTGCTTCCTGAACAGCGAAGGACAGCTAATAATATGACCTGTAGATTATGAATAAATGATGAACTTATGCAGAAGCGGAGGTAGAATCGTTCTTAGGTGAATAACTATAACTCCAGTCTGCTCACTTACCAGGATTTCAGGCCTTTCACATCCAGGTGGCTTCTGGACCGGCTGTTCAAATCCAGTTATTCCCACCAATGTGACTCAGGCCAGGCTATCAGCAGAGCTATTGATTATCAATCAAAGAACTGTTTATGTTTAATCAACTGTCACCAAAAGGAGGGTGGATCTGGCGTGATTGATCAGCCATTTGTTGCATGAGGCACAAACAACTGCAAGTTAAAACAATAATGTCTTTATTCTAATAAATACAGAAATCTGACATCTTTGCAAAACACTACAGACTATTGGAAAATAAACAGGAGGTAAACTAAGTGACTAGTTATGAAAGAAATACAGAACAAGGTTCTAAGAGGAGGTCGCCTATGAAGGCTATTCAGGGAAGAACCAAGGTCAATATATTCATTAATGTCCTTTCAAAATGGCAGCAAATACAAAAGCAATGATAAATACTGTTAGAACAACCTAACTTCATTCAACTTGTCAAGATTACCTTACAAAGGCGTTAGCAACGTAGCATCGTAGCGCCTCAGTAACGCTCATTCAGCTTAGCTAGTTAGATAAAACGGGGGAGGGGGCCGTGATGCAAAGGCAACAAGGCAGATCAAGATGGAGGTCCCCTACCATGTGGTCTGGAGTGGGGGGGCAACAGGCTGAAAACTACCTGATCATGTGACCAAAGGGGAGGGTTTGACTACAGTGGGCGTATCTTAACTTATGATGTCACAAAATGGCTGCTCCTTTCTCAGTAGATGCTCAGATTGAGGAGAAGCCTTGGCCCCTCCCATTTCCAGGCTCCATGGGGGTTGCCCCCCCCCCCCAACATAAAGGCGTTGAACCCAAAATGTTGTGGATTTTTGGTCCTTCAGCTGCTGCGGGTATTTCTGACAGTCCAAAGACGATCAGTCTCTTTTGAGGCCAAGATAATTGCAAACATTTTAGCGTGTGAGATAGATCTGCATTTCCAAACTCTATCATCAGAGGTTTGCACCTCCTGACAATCTGCTAGTGTCCTGCTGAGTTCCTGGGCCTGCTCCTATGCTCATTGTACAAACACAACCCCTGTGTGCCTGTTAGTGGGTCACTTCTGCATGCTTTGTTACATGTATTTATACTAACCCTAGATTGGCCCAGTGCGTGACCATGACAGCACGTTTCCTTTCAGGTGACTTGGACTGTGACTTGAAGTCTGACTCCAGCCCAGAGCGGGATCAGGCTCATCTCGATGACATCACAAAGGAGACTGATATCACTGAAGATGGCAAGAAGAGGAAGAGGAAACCTTATCGGCCAGGTGGGGGAAAAAACAGGATAGGAGGGGCCCCAGAATGGAGCCTTGAGGAACCCCACGTGTGATTTTTCTGCTCTTTGATTTAAAGTTCCCTACTGGCACATAGAAGTCCCTGTCCTTCAGGTGGGATTTAAACCAGTCCAGTGTTGAACTACAAAGACCTGCTCAGTTTTCCAGAGGCTCTAATTAAACCCGGTGATCAAAAGAATCAAACGCTGGTCCAATAATATCAGCACTTCCAGAGTCTGAGCCCTAACCACTAGATAGGGCACCATTCAGTGCTTACACCATTGTAGATGATGGCTTGATGGATGAACAAGCAGTTGAAATTTCCCACAATGCTCCTTGGGAAGTAGTGATCATTCATTGTCCCTAGATGAGCAGATATATCCCAGAATGCTTTGCTCAGAGAGCTCTCCTCACAAAGCATTATAGGATTTATTGTCACAGCAGCCCGCTGTCGACATAGGCTGTTGCTACCCGCCAGCGGTGACTAACAAAGATGGCGCTGTGCAGGGAGGGGTGGAGTCACATGACCAACTGGGAGCGAAAAGCAGGGATCATGTGACATTCAGCGGACGATCGGACACAGTTCATGCAGATATCACTAACCATCAGGGCAGTCTGTACTGGGCTGGTCATGGAAACCTGACTGGAATACATCAAAGCAGCTGGTGTTAAAGGGGAACGCCGTTTTTTCCATCAGGTCCTTGATTTTCCTTTTATTCCATCATGTTCT